TTTTAGAACTAAAAATTATATTAAAGGTGATTTGATGGATATAATATCAACATCACATACAAATAAGTGGTCAACATAATTCTCAAATAGGTAGATTATTTGTGGGCTCGTCCCTCCAACCGTCCCACCAATCCGATAATACACTCCTCTGCCGCGCTTCACTTATTGTTCTGCTCCACGATCACGATCACGATGATCGCCACTCGCCAGTGTGAATCCAGCAGTGTGAGAATTTACATTAACGAGAACGTCGAGAACAATGGTGGTTAGGCAGATATAACATTTTCATATTAATTTAAGCATCACTAACCGTTGTGTGAGATTTTGTTGTGCTTCCTTAATAGACTATGAAGTGGTGAACGCCTGGACTTCAAAGGATGGTCTTAAAAAACTAAACCGCAGATCAACTGTAACTACGACAAAAGCTACTTACGGTATGGCTTCATTGCATCGAGTTAGAATCTATGGAGAAGCTATGAGCATATTAACGTATGTATTAAAAACGGCATAGGTAGGAGTGGCTAACGATAATACCAATATGGCGGTGACATCAGGGCCACACTCAATAGTAATAAAACTACTATACAAATATGACTAGTTATTCAGAAGATTTAATGATAATCTAAAAAAGTGCAATACATTTTTAATAAACTATGATTTATTTATCCCGCGGTAAACACTAAAAACACGATATATTATACATAAAGATAAATTAATACAGTCAAATAGTATTAATTTATTCTTTGAAGTACGGGTCATTACTTTGTTTACATATTTGTATACTAACCTGTGGAAGGATATTCCTGAAGATTTTTTATTAACATTACTTCTGTTACTGCAACTACGTTTAGAACAAGAAACCATTATTATGCACTATCACAATATATTCCAGTTTCTATAAAAGTATTATAAAACTGAAAATATTCGAAAAACAACAAATATAACCAAACATATACGATGTGTCAAAAGTTTCAAAACAATAATACCAATATGGCCGAAGTGAGGTCGTTTTTAGTCACGTGATGCCCTCTCCATAACTCGATGCTTCATTGTAAAGTTCGGAACAGAAAAAATTCTGTTTATAAACGTGTTGTTTGTTTCGAAAAGTTTTATAACCACAGCACGAAGCCTTCTCTGCTAATGAGTCACCAAAACACAAAATATTCGAATTTGGTTGGTAAGCCGATTAAATTTTGAAAAGAAAATCTACTTCTTTCAAGAATGGAAATAAATGTATGACAAGTTTTGTAAATATTGATACTAACTTAATAAAAGCATCCTACCTTGCTAGTTATAGCATTAAAAAAGTTGGAAAGCCTCATGTAATAGGTGGAACCCTTTTATTATCGGCAACTGTGAATATAAAGACAGTTAGAGAAATTAAAAAAATACCATTGTCAAAGACAGTGAAGGAGTGAAGAAGCAAATTGCGGTTATATCTTCCAATATTGAAGAAAAAATGTGTTTAAACTTTAATAATGTACACATTTTGCACTTCAAGTGGATGAAAGTACCGACGAACATAACAAATTTGGTACAGCTACTTGTAATTGTACGATTTAATTATCATGAAGAAGTTATAGAAGAGTTTTTTGTTCTGCAAACCACTTGAATCAAACACTACAGCAGAACTCATTTTTAACATAATTGATGAGTATGTGCTCAAAATAGGCATTCCTTCGTCAAAGGTTTAGGTACAGATGGAGCGAAATCTATCTCAGGAATATTGATATGAACTAGCTATCACAAAACACAGATCTAGCTATCACAGAAAGCCAGAACTAGCTATGACAGAGAGCCAAAGAAAAATATATAAAATAAACAAAACAGCAAAAAGAGATAAAAGTTACAAAATACATGTTCACGAAAGGATATCAAAAGAGAAAGTCAACGACGCCAGAGTGGGGGACGCTTAGACAATATATATTCGTAAAAGGGACTAATATGGGTACGTCAAAATGAAGACTTTTCTATAGAAGTGTAATTATGAAAACCGACGCCCCATAAAGACAAAAAAAAAATGAAGATAAATGTAATTGAATGACTAGTAAAATCCAGTGACTATTAGTTCAATTTGTTTTTTCATCACAAAATTTTAAATTTAGCAAAACTTAGAAAAGAAACTTATTAAATTAAATAAATATACTCGCATTGTTTAGACACCTAAATAATGTAATTCTGATACGCCCATGCAGCACCCTATGAAAACATTCGGCACTTCATGATGAGGGCAAATAATCGGCAACTGCATTAAAAGCCCATTATTGATTCAATGGATGCTAATTTGCTGTAAGTGTCGCTTAAATTGAGACGCATTTTGCTCTATTCAACAAATGTGCAAAGTGATTGATACACTGTGTATTTGTAAACCTATTCATGCAGAAGTTTGTATAGAAAGAAAGGACTTGAATTAAAACATTAAGGTCACAATATCTAGAAGATAGAAGCAAAAATCTAAATTTTTATTTCGGTGTTTTATTAAAACGTTTATCGGTTATTAGTAGAAACGTATATAGACACTTGGACCTCTCTTTCTACTGGGGAACCACCTCTGTTGTGATTCGGCTTATATAATCGTTCCATTCTACTCTTCTATTTCTTACATAGTTCTTGATGTTCTCCAACTTGCATATACGTCGTATATCTGTACTTCTAGCTCTAAACAACAACAAGGCAAATTACAGACTAAACATAGAATGCGATGGAACCAGGCTAAAGCACAGTGCTAACCCAAAATACCTCGGCGTAACTCTAGATCGTACCCTAGCATTCAGAAAGCATTTGGAAAACACTTCAGCAAAAATTAAGACCCGCAATAATATTATCCATAAGTTAGCAAATACATCATGGGGGTCAAATGCAGAGGTAATAAGAACGAGCACGCTGTCCTTAGTATATCCTACTGCAGAATATTGCGCTCCTGCCTGGCTAAACAGTCATCACACAAAAGTCATAGATACCCAGTTAAATCAAACAATGAGGCACATAACGGGAACTATAAAGCCCACACCAACCCAGTGGCTTCCAGTTTTAAGCAACATCGCTCCACCAGCAACAAGACGACTAGCCGCACTCAACACTCTAGTTCAAAAATGCCAACAAAACCCAGAACTATCGATAAACACAGACATCGCTGAACTACACCAAAGGCAGTTAAGACTGAAATCCAGACATCCACCTACTAGAACTGCTACAAAACTGACTGGTTTCACTACGGAAGAGCACTGGATGGGCGAATGGAATCCAGACATCAGAAATTCTAATCTGATAGAAAACCCCACAATCAAACCAGACGGCTTTTCTCTTCCCCGTCGTGAATTGTGCAACCTAAATAGAATACGAGTTGGTCATGGAATTTGTAACAAATCGCTGAATCAATGGGGTATAAATGCCAGCCCGGAATGTAACAAATGCAGCGCCGCTGAACAAACAATTAACCACATCGTCTTCGAGTGTCCAGCCACCAAGTTCTTTGGCAGCCTTCAAGAAATCCACCAACTTACTCCCAAGGCGACATATTGGCTTCGAGGATGTAACCTTCGACTTTAATTTTAAAAATTTTAATTTTATATGTTCTGTGTCAGTGTTTACTTATTTACTTATTTATTATTGTTATTGTCACTTTTTTCTTCCTTTTCTTTATGTAAAACTGCAATGTGTAAAGTTCATACGAATATATATATATATATATATATATATATATATATATATATATATATATATATATATAATATATATATATATAATATATATATATATATTATATATATATATATATATATATATATATATATATATATATATATATATATATACTTCTAGCTCTGTCCTATAGTGTCTCACCATCAATTTTTCTAAATGTTTTCATGTCTGCTGTTTCTTTCTATTTTCATCTTTTTTGTACTCTCTGTCAGGTCGGGTTTCTACTGCGTATGTCATTAATAGTCTGATGACTGTTTTGTAAATTCTACCTTTCATTTCCTTTCTGTTTGCTCTATTCATTTGATCTTTCACTTCAGTTTCGAGCTTTGATGCCTACATATTTAAACTTTTATATAAATAACATACATACATATTTGGTCTTTCACAAAGGCATTCACCGGTAAATGTCGATACACATGAATTTCGGACTTTCACGGTAACATATACACTAGAAGACTTTTAGGGAAAATTTTTAGAAATACATCCATTTCACTACAAGATCGATTAACTGAAATTAGTAGCACAGCCAAAACGTCACGTATCGGTACATTTCTTCGGGGCATAAAATTCTCATAAGATGGCTGCCACTCAATCTGAGAGACATTTAGTATTGTACTAGAAGCTGTAGGAATATCACTAAGTTGTTCTTGGAGGAACTCACCATTAGGTTGTTCTTGGGGCAACTATTCAGGGTCTTCAACATCGAAATTAGTCTCACCTTCTGTATCATTATCAGATAAACATTTATTATTCAAATTCAAATTAGAAGAACTCCAGAGGATGGTGCGTATTGTGAATAGATACTCTGAAACAGGTCTTCTTCATCATCCGATTTATTCCATAAATTATCAGCCAAATATTTTAGTTCATGTTCATCCAATTTTCTTTTTCTGTAATTAAATACGAGTATGATTCGAGAGGGACAAATACGTCCCATATTAAAATTAAAGTGAGACTCATAGGTCATAACGTACATTTAAAAACATACTTCTCCTATGCAGAAAACCATTTCGTTTCAATTCTGAGAGATAGCTGAATGTTTTCACGTGTAAATTGTGGCAGTAAGCCGAACAGTAGGATGTATTGTTCGTGTAGGACAGAAACACATATACTTCTGATGGTTGCTTTTCCTTTTAGGTTTTTTTTAATTAAAGATGGGACAAATATAACCCATTAGAAGCGAAATGGCTAACTAAAGTATCTCGGTCAACTCTGTAGTCCTTTTATAACTTAGGCCATTATACCCCAAAAAAAAGGAAAAGGGTGGAATATTAAAACAAAAATAAAACAAATATTTTCATTACTATCGATGTATTATAAAAATAATTTCATAATAGATATTTAATATCTCTATCATAAATACCCCAAAAGTACATGAGCTTTGGTATCAAGGAACATATTTTTGTATTGTTCATCTTTTGAAAACAACAAAAAATATTTTATAGCAATAGTTTTAGGCTACACTTAGTTATGGACAAGATGCTATAATGATATTAAATAAATGAGTTTTAACATACAGATCTACTAAATAATTTTGTACATACATATCTTCAAAAATCAGTACCTCACCTGAAAACAAATTAAGGAGAGTAACGAGAAACCAAATTTAAATAATTGTGTATTTTTCCTAGACACTACAACTGACAACCGTAGATTTCTATTGCAGTTATTTTTAGAGATTATTCTTTTTCTATTTTCTTTTGCCCCCTTGTATTCACGTGGTCGCCAATATAGTATCTACTTATTCTGTCTTTAAGTTTTAACACTTGTAAGGACGTGGTACCGGGTTGAAGTCACGTCCTAGTCTTTTTAAGAGAATATCTTCACAATATCAAATCACTTTTAATTATATTTTATAATATTATCCACTCAGACTGGCAGCATTAAGAGCCTTAGAAGGTTACAGGCTTTTGATTCCAACTATCGCTGCTATGATAAAAACTGTCAATTTAATCTGCGTGCCAGGACACTGGAGTGTAAAGGAGTAGAAACGAGCGGATGTCTTTTATAGACAGGTTAGTCTAATTTGCTTTTGAAGCGCCAGCCAATTTATTGAAGGTCCAGGGCCCCTGAACCGTTAGTAAGAGTACGTGACAGGTTAGGCAGCATATAGTTCAGCCTTCCAAGAGTTTGACATCCCAAAGGCACCTACCTAATAGGTCAGCATGCTCTCTATGCATGTTTTGTGATAGAAAGGGAAAAAACAAACGTAGTTTCGAGTAAGCCGGATTTTATAATATACGGGAAGCTCGGCTCTCAGTGTGGTCTACTCAGGAAGTGCCATGCAATTAATCTGTTCTAGCAAGTAATGTTTTGATTCAATAATATTTGTTCCCACTGATATTATTGGTTTGACGGTTTTATTGATATTTACTTTTTTAATTCTCTATAGGCCTATGAATCTGAAATAAAATTCCTTATCGTTACTTTAGATGTGCAAATTTTGCTTCCTAACTTTTCAAAATGTCACAGATGTCAAATAACTTCTCTCACATCGTCAATTGTCAAGCATTGGACCGAAAGTACATTTAGACTTTTTTTAAAATAATTTTTATTTATTTATTAAAAGTTACAATAAACTCAATAAATGGTAAATACAAATAAAAACTAGTAAATATAGTGCAACAGGCATGGTTTGATTCGGGTATACGAGTAATCCATTAATGATTCACTGTTGTTCAGTGTTGCTATTTATTTGCACTAAGTGCAATCACTTTATTTATATAGATACAAAAAATTAAATTATCACTTCAGGTAAAAAAAATATTCCATTTTCTATTTATTTCGCAACAAGTACTCGGTAATTTTTTTTAAAATTGATTTATTGTGTAATGATACTTTTACTTTTCGAAGATATGTATGTTAAACTTTTTAAACTAATCAGTCTACAATAATCTATATTATTTGTTTAATATATTTAAATATTATGAACGAAACTTAAAATTCACCTCTGTAGAAAATACAATCATTTTAAAAGCAAGCGATTGTTTTAAAATTTTCTCAAAATCTTTTTTATTTTAGTAAAATGTCAAAAATATATTTTTGAAATATTAAAACAGTTGTTTCTTAGATCATACAACTAACAAAGTCTGTTGAAATAATTTCTTCCAGATTAACAACAATGTAACAGACTGTTCTGAACTATTTTCTTGTGGTCTCTTACGGAGAATACGTAAACAACTTAAGATACGCAGACGACACTGTCATTATTGCAAAAGTAATGGCTGTTACACGTGCACCAAATGTCGACATTAATATTCGTATCTATAATAAACATATAGAACCAGTACAAAGATTCCAGTATCTTGGTTGCTGGATATAATAAACTCTACGTTATCGTTGGATATCCGATACCAATTTGTAAAAACGTTTATTTATTCCATATTGCTATACGGAGTGGAAACATGGACTCTCGGAATTACAAGTATGAGGCGTATAGAAGCCTTTGAGATGTGGGTTTTTCGAAGAATGCTGAAGATCTTTTGGGAAGAGCACGTGACCAACAACGAGGTGCTAAGAAGAATGCGTACTGAGAAAGAACTCCAAAATATTGTAAAAAACAGAAAAAACGAGTTATCTAGGACATATTTACAGAGGAGAAAAATACAACTTTCTACGACTTATAATGGAAGGAAAAGTGGAAGGAAGAAGAGGTCCAGGAAGAAGAAAATGCTCCTGGTTGAAGAATGTAAGAGACAGGACAGGCATGGACACACATTCGATACTAAGAACAGCTCAAGATAAAGAGCACTTTGCTGTAGTTATAGCCAACCTTCAGTAATGGAGAAGGCACCTTAAGAAGAAGAAGAAGATCTTACAGTAAAATAATATTTTATAAGGGATTAAACCACAATTGGGAATTCCATAATGCGGAAATTGTGTCCAAAAAAATTTTAAATGATTTTAATGATTTTAACTTATAAACGTATATAACTGGACTAGATTGTAATTAAAAAATGACAGTTGATTTATTTGGCCTGGATCTTGTAAGCATTAAGCGCGCGCGCATTAAGTAGGCGCGCATTTGAACGAATCGGTCGAGGACGGATCGTCTCGCTACAGCACGGAATTAAATTTTGTAACGCACATTTATCGACAAAATCGGGTCGGCTCAGTTAGTGTATTTAGATGAAAGATGAATATAAAAATTATTATTGTTAGTTTGTTGTGTGACACAGATCAACAACAAAATAAACTTTCAAAAAGGAAGTGTAATAAATAAAAAAAAACTAATAAAAAAACTATTTTGTATATGTACTGCAGAGTCGCAATAAACAAAATATGAAGAAAAAAATTGAAATTACCAGATGTAGATAATACTTATAAGAATGAACATGACTATGGTGTAATGAATACACCTATCATTTAGTTTTCATATCAAAAAAGTACCTTTTAATATTTTATTCAGGAATTTCAATAATTGTTATAATTATTTTTGAAAAAGTTATTTTAAAACATTGTTGGACACCTTGGCAATACCCGTCCTCTATTTAGAAATACATTGCGGTGACAACCATCTCGCAAACTAGGTAAAAGGTCAAATTGTGTGCCTACATTTCAGGCATCTTAGTTCGTTGTTTATTGGGTAGCGGTTATTAGCTTATTAGTAGCTTAGAGATTGTTAATAATACGTATTATAACGACTCTCTATGTCCCGTAAAGTGTATATTATTTTGATACTGTTTTTACCGTGTTTTTGTATTGGGACCGTGCAAGTTCGGAAGAGCGACACCTGGTGTCGTAAATCAGCAAAATTTACTGCGCTTTCATGTTAGATCGAGGTTACCGGATAACTGTCAAGGACGTAGCCCCAAAAAAGAATAAGAAAAAAAAGTAAGATTGAGGTTATGTCGGTATGTTATTAAAAGGTAAACGTTGTATGTAGTGTAAATACAAATAAATATATTATTACATTACAGTATTACTGTTAATATGGATGCAATAATAAAACTGGATTTGAGAAAGTAAATCACCAAATAACTTTTCAACAATTTTTTGTTGTATTTTACAATTTATAACACAGCAATTACTAAATCCCATTTTCTTCAGTGACAGAAGGTGTAAATAAACAAACGAATATGAAATATGACAATTTGCCAATTGACAATATGAATTTATGAAATCTATGAAATGTGCACTAAAAAATGCAAGATTTCTCCGCTACTCGCGCACGATCGTTTCTCGTATCACATCCAAGTACTTGCACGTCGCCAATTGCTTGAGGTAAGTTGTTGATAAATATTATACTAAAATATATTCTATAAAAATATGATATTTTAAATATGGATTCTAAAGAGTAAAAGCGTCATATTTAGCAAGTGATGAAAGTTTCGGAGCAGATTCGGATCTTGATAATAGAAACACTGAAACTACTGAAAGTGATGACTCAGAACAAACTACGGATGTCAATTTACAAGAGGCAGGTGGTTCACACAAACCAAATGATATTCAAGAACCATATATTGGATGGCATAGTAATGTTGCCGATATTAGTGTCTTCTGTGAAGAACCATTAAGAGAGCAAATAACGATTGAAGCATTTAGTAAGCTATGGGATGATGAAATTGTGACACTTTTGTTTGATTGTACCAACACCTACGGATAGATACTTGTCAGCAGGTTCGCCCTAAAACCCGACACTCTCGAAGTAGGATTTACAAATCGATTGATAAGCAGGATAAATTTTTAGGCATATATTTGTTATGGGAACAAACGAAAAATTGCGATATACGAATCTTTTTTAGGCTAAAACCACTAAACTATTTTCCGATATTTCCTATAACAATGTCTGGTAGACGCTTCGAACAAATTTCACGCAGCTTTAAGAAATATTTTAGACTTGTGTATTAGAAATTTTCAATCCTCTTATAAGCCTTCACAACAAGTATCTCCAGATGAATCGTTACTTTGATTTCGAGGGCGATTAGCTTTCAGAATATACATGAAAAATCTTCTTCTTACAGTGCCTTATCCTTAAGAACGTTGGCCATTATATTTGACCATTTAATTTTATTTGTAGCAGCCCTGAATAGTTCTATGGAGGTCATGTTCATCCATTGCCGTAGGTTTTTAAGCCAAGAGTTGCGTCTTCTTCCTGGTCTTCTTTTGCTATTGACTTTGCCTTCGATTATAAGTTGGAGCAGTTCATACTTTTGATTTGTTATGATGTGACCAAAATATTGTGTTTTCCGTTCTTTTTTTTAAAGCATAAGCTCTCTTTCCTTATTTATCCCCCGCAAGACTTCCGCATTTGTCGTATGGCTCATGTAGGAGATTCTGAGCATTTTACGGTAACACCAGAGTTCGAATGCTTGGATTCTTTTTTGTGTTGCTTCTGTCATTGTCCAAGCTTCAACACCATACAGCAAGGTGGAGAAAACATAGCACATAAGTATTCTAGTTCTCAATGAGATGCCCAGCTAGCGGTTGCATAGAACTTTTTGCATTTTGTAAAACATTGTACGTGCCTTTCCAGGCGTATTCTTATCTCTAGTGAGTGGTCCCAAGTTTCATCAAGATTACTTCCAAGGTACGTTGTTCTTGTTACTCTTTCCAGATCTGTTCCGTCGACATTGACCTTCACCCTTCTGTTTTGGTGCTTGCTGATGACCATCGTTTTTGTCTTCTTTGTATTCAATTTCATTCCAAATTCTCTACAGGCTGTCGTTACTCGGTCCATTAAGAGTTGCAGGACTTCAGCATTATCTGCCAGTATGACAGTGTCATCAGCATATCGCAGGTTATTTATACATTGCTCGTTTATAATTATACCATCCGAGGTGCCTTCCAAAGCTTTCTGAAATATCTTCTCAGAGTAAACATTGAACAGCAAAGGTGATAGGACACATTCCTGTCTTACTCCCTTCTCGATATTGATTTTTCCAGATGTTTCGCTTTTTATTCTGATTTTAGCCTGAAGTTTGAAATGAAAAATAGAAAAACTAAATATGGCATAAAATTTTATGAACTACGTAGTGCAGATGGTTATGTCGTAAACATAGGTATATAAAAAGGGCAAGGATAGAACTCTCCTGGTGAAGCTATGTCTAAAACTGAAGCGTTTGTATTAAAATTAATACATTATACATACATACATATTAAAATTAATACAACCATATATAAATCAGGGATACCATCTATATATGAACAATTACTATATAACAACATATCGCCAGCTAATCGACTTCTTCGACCTAAAACTCACGTAACGGGTACTCTTAGAAGAGACAGGCGAGGAAATCCTATTGTAGTAACTAAAGAAAAATTAAGAAAAGGAGAGCATGTATGGAAAAGACAAGGAAAAGTGTACATTTCAAAGTGGAGAGATAACCGCCAAGTGCTTGCGATTACGACTTTGAATCACCCGAAACTAATAAGATGTAAAAACAGAAGAGAAGAAAAAAAAATAAAACCCATCGAAGTATTCCATTATAACAAATATATGTCTGAGATAAACAGGTGTTACAAATTTAATCTATTAGATATAGCTCTCTGGAATGCATTGTTTTGGTTCAAAAAGATTAACAGTCCTGATCCAGCAGCAACAATCAGATTTATCGATTTCAGTGATTTAATTATCCAAATCCTCTTAGAACTGGACCCCAAATTAAAAGATGCGAGAACATAGATTAAGTTGTTTTCACAACATACACCACAAGAAAATACGGCTCTTCCTGGTAACTTTACTAGTACAGTATGTTCAGGAAACGATACCTTTTCCACAGAATTCGAGTTGTGGTATACGCAAATATAAAAGTGGAAATGTATTTTTTTTTATTTTATTTTTTTGTATTTTACTGTTTGTACTTTGTTTCTTGAATTTTATTTATGTTTGGTTTATTAAAGTGTGTCCAGCAATGTGTTAACCAATAAAACACTTTTAGACTCCAATGAAAACCACATGAAATTCACATAATAACTTTACATAATAATACGGTGGCGAATATACAGACTAAGCTTTTACGTAAAAACAATGTTATCTAAATAATAGATTAGATAATAAAAATATAAAGTAAAATCCAAGAAATTAATATTTAGCTATGTTCAATATTAAATGTCTTGGGCATTAAAGTGTTACAAACTGTTAATTTGGAGGAAATTTCTACAATTGATTAATTTATTTAAGTTAAACCCACGAACAGATAGGCTCACATCAAAACTACTACCTAAAATTGTCTGGTTGAAGATGACTAATAGTTTCATAACTATATTTTGCTAACTGATGAAGAGTTTCAGCCATAGTTTTTCCTGTCTGCTGAACCATCCCGTAAAAGATACCACTTTTATCTTGCAGTAGTAAGTGAGGATGATCAAACTCCTTCAAAGTTCCAGCGTCCATTACTAGCACCTTATCCGAATCCATTACGGTATTCAGTCTGTGAGCTATAGTAAGAACGGTGCATTCTGCAAATTTGGTTCTAATGGTTTGCTGGATCAGAGCATCTGTTTGTGGATCGACGTTAGCCGTTGCTTCGTCGAGGACTAAAAGTTTGTTCTTTCTGAGGATGGCTCTTGCTAGACACACAAGCTGGCGTTGGCCTACGCTGAAGTTTGAGCCACCTTCGGACATTTTGGAATTTAGACCGGCTACCAAGTTTTCAACGGCTTCTTTTAGTTCTACTTCTTCTAAAACGCTCCACAATTCAGCATCTAAAATATATTTTTAGTTAAAAAAAAAAGAATTATACAATGTAAAATTATAAATACTCGTAATTGTTGGAAGACATTTTTTGCTGACTTTTTGGTAAAAAAGTGAAGAATACGTTTGTTTATTGATGAAGCAAACAGTTTGAAGTTATAGTACATACCTGAAAATTCATCAAATGGATCTAAATTCTTCCTCATAGTTCCTGAAAACAGAACAGGTTCTTGTGGGATGATAGAGATCTTAGTTCTCAAATCATGTAATCCAATTTGTGAAATATTAACTTCGTCGATCAAAATATCGCCGACAGTTTCATTTAATTGGAAGAGAGCATTAATAAGTGAAGATTTTCCTGCACCTGTCCTTCCGACGATACCAATTTTTTCTTTTGGTTTCACGACGAAACTCAAATCTTTCAAAACAAATGGATCTTGTGGGAAATATTTTAGGTAAAGATCCCTAAATTCCAACTTGCCCTTCTCCGGCCATGAAGGTTTGGGTTTCTTGTCAGGTCGAGATTCCAGCTCGCCTTCTTTTTCTATATCATTGTACTGGAGTACTCTTTCTACGGACGTCATTTGGTTCTCAAGTTCAGTGGACTGCCGCATTCCCCACTGGAACATTCCAGTCAATCCAATAGCTTGGGTAATAGCTAAGCCAACATTTCCTCCAAATTGTTCTAAAAATATTTATTATTAGAATCCGATAGTTAAACAATATTTATTTTTAATTTTTTTTTCTGTGGATTCAGGGTTTAAGTTAAGCAAACGTGGTTTAACGAATCAGGGGCATTATCAATATAGTAATCTAGTCACAGGAGGTAGGTGATTTGTGACAATAGTCAAATTTTAAACAACCTGACATAGCCCTTCTTACAAACATCAAAGAAGACTTGATTAATCGCATAGGACTGGTTGAAAATATGAGTCAAGTATTTAATCTGGAGTTAAACCTGTCGACCAGTATTAATATTAAACTTATAGAACTGGAAAATAAGTGGAGCCAAAAGTTTAGTGCGCGTGTTGTCCGCTAGGTGTCTACAACTAAGGGGGCAAAAAAGTAAACAGTCTTTGAAATTTTACTTGATTTCCGTAATATTTACATAGAATTTTGTGAAAGTGGTTTTTAAAGTTTAAGGTAAGATTAACTCCTAGCCGAAACATAATCATTTTTAACTTATACGAATGTATTTTAATCTCATAATTACATAAGACACAGTTTTTGTAAAATATATTGGTTAATGTTTGTTTGTGGTTTAGAATAATTGTATAAAATGTTTTGATGTAGTAAATTACGTTGTACTATAAGAAATTTCAAGAAAAAAATGTATTTCGGTGAGTATCAAAGCCTACTAATTTAAACTCAGCCTACCATCATCAATATTATAAATTGAAATGAGATCATATCACCCTTTAAATATGGCGGCCGTAGCGCAGTTTCTATGTTAGTGGTTTAACAAGCTAAAGGTGAAGAAGGAAAAGAATATTCTCTGAAGATAATGAAATAGAACTGACATAAATCTACTTCCGGAACAGTTAAACACTGTGTTAGTAGGACATCTATCTATCTATCTATACAGCCCTTCTATTATAGGCAGTTTGTATCCACTTATCCACTCATCTTATTCCATCTGTCGTCTTTCTGTCTTATGGTATATTCAGCGAACTTGCACTTCCACAAGTTTTGCTATCTGCGTTGATACATCGGTCACTTTTGTTTTGTTGCGTATCCAAGTATTTCTTTTCTTGTCTGATAGCCTGATGTTCAGCATTTGCCTTTCCATGTCTCTTTGGGTCTTTGCCATTTTTTCCATGTTTTCCTTTGTAAACGTCCAAGTTTGTGAACCGTAGGTGAGAACAGGAGGTATACATTGGTTGAAGACTCTTGTTTTTAAATATTTGGGGTATTTTCTATTTTTTAGTATATAAGAAAGTTTTCCGAAGGATACCCAAGCCAACCGTATCCTTCTCTTTATTTCTCCGGTCTAATTTTCTTTATTTAATGTATAGTTATCCCAAATATACATATTCTTTTACTTGTTCTATAATTGTTTGTGCAATTGTAATTATTAATTCTTCTGGTTGGTTGGTCATAATTTTCGTTTTATTATAATTCATTTGTAGACCTATTTTTGTTGATTCGCTATTTAATTCATCCATTATATTTTGTAATTCTTCCCTTTTATCTGTTATTAATACAATGTCGTCTGCATATCTCAAGTGATTCAAGTATTGGTCATCGACGTCCCTAAAGTCCGTGAGGGACGTACTATGGACGTCCACTGGACGTACATGTGCTATTAGGGTTATGTTAATACCACGTTTTTCCCATTGTAATTAAATATCTCTTACATATCTCTGATCTGGAATAATTGATCAGAAATAAAGGAGACACTACACGAAGAAATAAAATATAAGTAGATGTAATCTAAACCACCAAATTTCAAAAACCTAAAAATGAGATAGGTAAACTGTTCAATATTTCCTGAATTGAAAATGGTAAAGAAGTGTTGTTTGTGGAAAAGAGCAATCAAGTATATGAAAATGTATCATTCCATAAATGAGCTATTAATATTTTTGAATAATATTAAAAAAACAATCATAGGGAGTTCGAAGTTCGACCGCTATTTAGTAGAACTCTGTGACAAAATCATTTTAGTGCGTAGGCAACACAACAATCATCATCACATAACCAACGATTTAACCATTAACGTCAAAGACCAGTGTAAATGGTCTTTGATTAACGTTTTAAACCACAGCCACCTTTACTTCCAAGCCATGAAGTAGAAATTTGGCAACAACGCGTGGTAGTCCGACACCGACTGTGGTTTGTTTTGGTTTAACATTTCATATAGGAAGGCTTGTAAAGTTTGTTGAATTTATTGTTTTTTTAACTTTATTCGAATGTTTTATTTGTAAATTGTGTTTACATCAATTAGAAAATATTAATATAAGTGAAATTTCATTAAATTTAGAACTTTTAGAAGATTCTTAACAACAATTTAAAAGGCAAGTATAAATATAACCTACAAAACAAACTGAAAATAATAATACTTTTGCTTCTTGTTACAAAATATGTAAACTAAAAACAACAATAATAATACTTTTGTTTTTTGTTACAGATGCTCTGGCATTGTTGTGTACTTGGTTGCAAAACCAATTATGCCAGTACTTTAAAAACGAAACAGGCAGAAAGTACGTTTTTGTTTCCCAAAGATCCCCAAAGAAGGTATACTGGGTTATGCTCTATTCATAGAGAAGGCTGTACAATTACCAAATCTTCCGTAGTATGTGCCAAACATTTTCATGAAGATGATATTCAGCGGACTGAACAATGAGAAGATAAAGATGGAAATGTACACATTGAAAAGTTAATATTTCCCAAATTAAAAGGCAATGCAGTTCCTAATATATTTCCTGAAGTACCATCATATGTAACTGTTCATCGTACTAAAGAAAGAAGGAATCCCGAAGACAGAAGAAACTTTTTGCATAAGAAGAGGGAACAAGAGATAACATAATTATGTCAATTAGACTTAGACAATAATATCCCATTGAAAAACTGGACAAGTAAAATTACAAGTGACTGTGTATATTTCTATGTATTAAACATTAATCAGTTGGGACACAAGTGTGATAATATTTGTGTAATATGTAGTGTAATAGTTAGCAGTAATTTTAGTGTAATTGTCAATTTAGGTAAGAATAGATTAAGTGGTAATGATTTGAAATGGATTTTACAATACAGTAAATTAACAAGATGGTCACAATTAAAGAACTTATTTTCTCATTTAGATCTGCTTTCTAGATAAGTGATAACAAATTTGAGTATTACATTCAAAAATCTTCTGAGAATATAGGCTATTTTAAATCGATATACAAGTTCTAAATGGTATGTTACATTCAACACGTTTTTCATGTATACCTCTTTTAACTTGGTCTATATGACAACAAACCTATTCATATTTAAAATTGCTACTTTTTTATATCATGTATGAAAATTCAACAAAAGTTATAAGTAAATAGTAAAATATTTAATTTTCAATTAGATTAATTTAGAACCATATTTATATTGTGTCTGATTTCTTAGGATGAATTTTTTAATCATAACAGTTACACTAAGTTTTTGTGTTTTAAAATTTCTAGAGATTCTTGACTGTATTTGATTGTAAGATTAACTGTTGACACTGTATTTTAAGTGCAATAAATTTTACTCTAGTGAATATTTTATTGATAATATAACCTAAATAATAATAAAACTTTATATATATTTACTAGGTATATATAAGGTTTTATTAATTTAATTTCCCTAAAAATATTTCTGTAATGAATTGAAGTTTTCAAAATATCAGTTTCCTAAAATTCAAATTAGTTTAATATTCTGGTAGACCTTACAGCTGATTATCGGACTACCGACGTCATAGAATGCGGTGTTGCCTTTTTTACTTCATGGCTTGGAAGTAAAGGTGGCTGTGTTTAAACTCATACTCATACTTGCATGCATCTGGAATAATTGATCACAAATGAAGGAGACACTACACGAGGCGATAAAATGTAAGTAGATGTAATCTAAACCACCAAATTTTAAAAACCCTAAAATTGAGGTAGGTAAACTGTTTAATATTTCCTGAATTGAAAATGGTAAAGAAGTGTTGTTTGGAGAAAAGAGCAATCAAGTGTATATGCAAATGGATCATTCCATAAATGAGCAATTAATATTTTTGAACAATAAAGACAGTATTTCTAAAAGTTCCTTTAACTTTTAATATAAATATAAGCAATCATTACGTCATTCATATTTTGCAAGTCAGAAGAATTACGCCACCAATGGATTAGTATAGTTGGACAAAAAATTTCTTTCTATAATTCACTTATATGCAGTGAACATTTACATCAAATAAGATTCAAATTTAAACAGCTCTAAAAAGATATTGTGCCAACTCAAAATTTATCCAACAATATCTTAATGTAAGTTTTTGAGTGTTTTTATTGTTAATTATTGTTTATAAAAGATGTGGCTCGGAAAAATTGTAAAAAAATATGGCATACAATACAAACATTTTTGATTTTTGAAATTTCGTATTTGTAGTACAAATTTTATTGATACAATAAAGTTGAAATTGCAAAATTTCTTTTTTTAGAATTTTTATTTAATCCATAATCTAATTAGTTACAAAGTTTGGTAGTGGGAAGGTCGCGTGGTCGATAAATCCCACCCATTAGAAAGAGATGCAAGTACTGCTCGCATCTTTTTTCTCTGTCGCATTTGGGGAATATCCACTTAAAAATCGTATAATATTACTACAGATAAATCTTAAATATAACATTGGTATATAGGAAAAGTATTATTTATATTTAAATGCATAATTATGTATATATACTTACCGTTACCAATAACTAGAAAACTGAATGTGACAAGAGTGACGTAAACCATACACAGTAAATCCAACCAGTATCCGAAAGCTCTGGACGTTGAAATAAAAGCAAACCAAGCTGAACTATGCAAATCTTGATGGTTATCAAATTCCTTTTTCAAAATTTCTTCAGCTTGAAAAGCTCTGATTGTTGTTAATCCCAAAAGAGAAGCATTTAAGTGAGAAAATACAGGACTTCTAGCTAAAAATGTATTAAGTTAAAATCAATCTCTTGTTAAAAATTATACACTTACTTGTTCCTTCAATTCGCTTGATGTTTCTACTAGTTCTCAAATAAAATATTCTGAAGAAAAAGAAGATTATTCCAATAGCAACAGTCGGTATCATTAAGAAAGGAGTTACAACTGCTACAACTACTATAATACCTAGAAGAGCTAAACCGATCTGTAGACAATCGATTAAAGCTGTCGGTAAAAGTTCGTCAATGGATCCCATGTCTTTGGAAAACCGATTTAAAATTCTTCCAGAACTATTAGTATTGAAGAACCTCATAGTGGCTCTAGTAATGCTGATGAACATATTGTCATGGAGTCTGGTAGAGGCACGCATACACACAATAAAAAATGTGAACGATCTGACCAATGTTATAACCACCAACAAGACGATTAGACCGGAATAAATGTATATCGAGGTTTCTCTTGAAAAGTGCCAAAAATTATTAGTAATGGTCTCATTTGATGAATGTCCTGTTGATTGTGTTAAATTTGCGGCACTGTCTTGTTGCTCTAAATTTACCCTAAAATAAGTTACGTCTTTTATATGATAGCATAATAAGCATTTATAATAATAATATGAAGACGTTTTGCATAATTATAATTTCTATGATATATTACTCAGTAAATCACTTACCAATAAGATAAATAGTAATCTGAGGCACTTGCAAAGATTTGTGTTAACAGGAATAAAAAGAAGAATATAAAAATAACGCAACAATTTCCTCCCGCTTTGAAATAGGCTCTGTATACATATCCACCTATCGAGCCGGTGCCTTTTTGTTCCTCGATTTCTTTGGGTGCTTCCACTTCTACTGAAGCAACACTTTTTATAGAGAGCTGACGCATGACTTCAGATTCTTTAGTTGTTTCTTCTTCTTCCGAAGATTCACCGAGTGATTTTGTAAAGTCTAATCCACTGGCTTGTAATTCTCTAAAAGACCCTGAAAGAAAAAAAATAGAATAGAGAATGGAATAAATAGTAAATGATCTGAAACCCATATATTTTCTCTCGGTAAGATAAGGAAAACAAACTCTTAAGTTATTTTAATAATTCTTAAAAAAATGTATAAATATAAATTTTTTTTATTAAAATCCTTTGTAAAAGGTATATATTTAAAAACCCAAACGGGCTAATTATATACCTTTTACAAAGTATTTTAATAAAAATTTTTTTAATATAAATGGTATACAGCCAATTACAGGAACGTAGATTCCTTGTGGATGTATAGATATAATTATTTACCTTTGTTTCGAATTGAACCTAGGTCAAGGCCGAAACGTGATATTGGCAAAATAATTATTAAACGGATAGGCGAGAACGTTATTGTTATTATCATATTATTATTGTAATCAAACCTTGGAGGCCGCATATTTGAAAGTGTTCTATTTTCAACCGACATAATGCATTCTGCTGACTGATCTATCCAATTAAAAGCTTGCTAAAGTTTGCATTAAAGTTAAAAGTCATATAGGTCTTTCTTTTTGATGAAAATGTCAAACTGAACCTCAGTTGACAACTGCTAGAGCGGTGGAAGCCCAACACCTCATGGCCATCCTGTGCCAGTCCCACACTAGCCTAGAGTCCACGTTAGCGCTTATGAGTGCCCCATGGCTGCTTGGTTATATGTGCATGTATTGATCCGCTTTAGTTCGAAAGCTCCCATGGTATTTCTTCTGCTCTATATTTTCCTAGCGGAACAGAAATGTTTATATTTTCACCACTGCTGAATATTCCTGCACTAGACTTTTCTACATATTTAGACCCGTCTGTATACCAGATATAACCCTGAAGTCTGGCTCAATTGGTTCCTTTGCCTCATTCCTCTCATTTAGGCCTGAGTACCATATGTTTAGGAGTCATCATCTATTCGGTATTCCTAAATCTATTTATGATGATACAATGTTCTAATATAACCGTTAGGTTGCTTAGGTTATGGATGGCCTCCTAATTTTTCGTCTAGATTTAAAGTGAATATTGTGTTTCTCAAAATTATGTTTTAAAATACGGAAGGACATAATTAGGTCACCTCGAAGACGTCGCTGCTCGAATGTCGTCAGATGAGCCATGGATAGTCTATCTTCATAGTTAAGTCTTACACGGCCGTATGCCAGTTTTGTGGCTTTAGGCTGAACATTTTTACCCGGCAAACTCAAGAATAGGTCTAACATATATGGAGTAAAGTTGACTAACAGAGGTTAGATATATACGTGTAAAACATTTACGGATCAAAAACAGTTTCGAGTTTGCACGTTTACACACCGAAATTATGTGATCAGACCAATTTAAGTCACTATTAATTATCACACCGAGAACGTTGTGGGAGGTTACCAAGTTTAGCGGGTTTATATAAAGCATCATTTCTTTATAATTTGAAACAATTCATCGTACGAATTTGAGGCGCTGCCACTTTTGCCTTAATAAAACAGTGCAATTGACAGAATAATTTACATGGCATTTCTTGATTTGTAGAGGACAAGTTTTCGAAACGAATGGTATGGACCTATTAACAAAAAAGTTTTTAAGTTTTTATTAAAAAAAGTGGAATCATAATGGTGTTACTTAGACATTTTTTGATGTGTGTTATATGGAACGGAAGTACAGTAGGGACTCCATAGCTGTCGTTGGTATGCTTGTCAGAGTCGCTGTGATTTCAAGGAAAGCAAGTGTTTGAATCTTGCTAAGTTTGAGATAATACTTTTTTGTTAGTAAACTTTACTCAATATACGTTTGACTTAATTCTTGAGTTTGCTGGCCCAGTTCTGGAATCCAGATCTCAGTCGCGATAAAATCCTACTTACAAATGTTCAGCGTAAAGACACAAGACTGGCATACGGCCGTGTAAGACTTAACTATGAAGATAAACTAGCTATGGCTCATCTGACGACATTCAAGCAGCGACATCTTCGAGGTGACCTAATTATGTCCTTCCGTGTTTTAAAACATAATTTTGGAAAACGATGCACCATATTCACTTTAAATCAGTTGTTTCAAGACAAGTTGTTTGTAAGATCCACAAGGGTCAAATAAAATAAATGCTTAACTCACAGTCTACAATATTTCTTCAATATCAAACTATACCTTAAAAGATTGAAAGATTAATTAATCGGTACTCCACAACGTATTCTATCTGCTCATTCCAAGTTAGCCTCGAGTAATATCAGTTCAAGATAGTTTACTTCACTTGCCAGATTTAGATGTGTACCATTTAGGTTTAGTAGATCCAATTGCCTCCTTCTGATAAATTTCATGATGTTTTTGTTATGTGCTGCATTTGGACATACCTCTTTGACGTTTTTTGTATGTTTAGTATTTGTGTGTAAATAAAGTTGTTTCATATCATATATATAGAAAATAGATTGAAAAATTACCTGTCTTAGGAATTCCATCTTCCAAATACAATATATTGTCCAATTCTTGTAAGTACTGTATTTGATGAGTAACTAATATCACAGTTTTATTTTTTAAGTAACCCGTAATGCACTGTTCAAATATTTCTTTTCCGACGTGAGTGTCTACAGCGGATAAAGGATCGTCTAACAAATAAACGTCGGCTTGCTTGTAGACGGCTCTTGCCAGGTTAATTCTTGCTCTTTGACCACCTATAAATAAAAGTGTTGGATTATGAAAATAAAATATATGTCAATAAAGAATAATGTTAAAATAAACAGCAACAAAACATTAATGTTTGTATTTTGAGAACTATTTCCGAAGTGGAAATTGAAACTTCAATAAACTTATTTTAACCTTTAGTTGTGGCTAAGAAATAGGTAAGCTAATAAGTTGTTTATATAAGTAATACATAGAAGAAAACTGGTATTATTCCGAACGATTGCCTGGTGTTCGCCTTTATTTCTCTGCCAAAGACAGTGAATGCTAAAGTGTGTCAAGTTTATAGAATTATCAGCAAAACGGAAGTATTTCTGAAGGTAATTCATGGCAGATTCGCAAAAAAACTGGAAGCAGAGATAGGTTTTAACCAGGTTTGGTTTATTCTGTAGTAGAGCAAATGGATGACCAAATGGAAAATACAAGTAAGCTCCATTCGCTTAGCTCGGGCATATTTTTACAGATTCACAGTCGGAAAACTACAATATAACAATTCATACTTCTCAATATTAATAGCTCAAATATACTACTATTGCAGACTTCTTCCTTTGTAAAAAAAAAGAATTATTCTAAATAGCTGGAAGTCTATATTAAAGCCATAAAATTTTCCCTGTATATTTAAAATATAATATTTGAGTTGAGTTATTTTATTTAATATAGTTGTATTGTTTTATTATTTTTGTTTAATTCTTTTGTTAGTTCTATTTAGTTAATTAGATAGTTCTACTTTGAATTTTATTATTATGGATATTCAAAGTTTACCATTTGTTTCTCTTTACCAAAGTTTACCATTTCTTTAATAAATATGATAAATGTTAATAATAAATAACTTTAAAAGTTAATATTTTTAGATGAGTAAGGATGCTGTAAAATTACAAGGTAATGAAACTGCACACAGGTTTATTAAAAATACCTACCATTTTTTAAATTAAAATATATTTATCGAATTATGTAAATGTTACAAATGTTCTTAATAACAAAAACATTTCAGTTAACATCCAAATGTCTGGAAGTCTCAGAAAAAAGTGTGCGTAAATATAAAGTTGGGCCTAATACAACTCTCACTTTAAAGAAGAAAAGTCGCAAAAGGAAATTAACGACTGACTTAAATGATAGCGTCATAAATCAAATTATCTTAGAAATTTATCGCATGCATAAAGAAAGTACGTTTCTGTTATATATAAAACAATATATTTTATAAAGAAGTCAGGCTAATTTAGTTTATATCATTAAGTTGCGCCAAATGTAGGCAACCAACTTTAAGGTTTTTGCTAGCATTTAGCTTGAGTTGCTTGAAAATAGTTTCAATAAACGAATAAAGTTTAATATTATCCTTTTATAATCATTATTTTATCGTTATATTAAAGTTTTATATTATTTAAAGTGATGTTAATAATAGTAATGTTAATTAAAAGAAAAGTAAAATCCCGGGTCGTCCAAAACTAGTTTCTGAGAGGAATAATAGAATATGAGTATAAGTTTGCAAAAAAGGGCGACGAAATATTCTAATGAAATACACTTTTAGTCAGTCAAAAAGTAACTAAGGATCAGAACAATTTAAATACTAAATGAGTGTACATAAAACCAATTATTTAAATACAAAAGTATCTAAGAAAGCGACAAGATTAAAAATGTTAGATGGAAATGTTCTATAAAATTGCTGTATCAGAATGTTGAGATAAATGTAAAACCAACTGTATACGTACCACTGAGTGATACACCTCTATCTCCAACAATAGTCTTGTCTCCATAAGGCAAAAGTCTAAAATCTCTTTCTAAAGCACACTTTTTAACCACAGTCTTGTATCTTAATTTGTCCATGGGTTGTCCAAATAATATATTTTGTCTAACGCTGCCTGCAAATAACCATGGCTCCTGTGATGCGTAGCTAACTGTACCATTGACAGTAACAGATCCATTAACTAGTTTCAACTCTTGTAATATCACGTGAAGTAAAGAACTTTTGCCGCTTCCAACTGGACCTATTACTCCTAATAGTTGACTGGGATATACCTAAAATGGATAAAACTGGTTAAACGAAAAATAGTAAAATATTGGAAATGGAAAATCCCCCCGTATAACATATCCCTGTAATATAGAATAAATGTAGAATGCTTTTGGGAAGGTGTTTATTTTAAAACAGTACTAATAATTTGATTTATTAGCAATAATCCCATATATGCTTTCGTAAAGAAGCATTCCGTTATATCGTTATTGGAGTGCTCCAATTGAGTTGGGAATCCAGAGCCTTAGATACCTAACGTCATTGATTTATTTAGTTCCTTCGCAAATAATTTCAGCTCACTCAATCCAGTAAGCTTCCTCTTTTCAGTGAAGCTACTAATTTATTTTTGTAACGATTCACATAGAGGTTCTCTTTCAGACACCAATTCTCTATGTAATGAAGGGCATATCGCATCTGATCTGCAATAGTACTGGAAAAATACTTTTACAATATAGTCTGCGAAACTGTGGACCCAAATTCCTTGGATGCTAAGCCCATGAATCAGGTCATTAACGACTGTATTTTTGTCTCACTTGCCCTCCCTCCCCACTTGCCCTTCTTCAAGCTTTGGGAATGTATCCCATAGCATGGCTAGCTTTAAATATTGTGATCATGGAACCCATAATTATTTTCAGTCCTTTTTGGAGTAATATGGACAATATGCCATCTAGTCCCTCAGTTTTGAATGGTTCAAAAGTTTTAATAGCCCATCTGACCTTGTGAAAACCAAAGATGACTTCAGAGGTCAGCCAGTCACGTCTGGTTGTTCTAAGATTTGCTTGATGATCATTATCACTAGTAAAATGCGTCGACCCTGAAAAGTGAACACTTAAAAGGTGCTATACAGTCTCCTTCTCTATGTCCGTGTACTCCCCATTTGACAATTTAACTGACTTGGGTTTATGAATGTTATTTCTTTTGAAGATTCTGTTAACCCTGACACTTTAAGGTACACTTTCAATGTTTTCACAGAATTTTCTCAAGGATCTTTCCTGAGTGGATAGGACTGTCTTATTATAGGTTATCAGTTTAACCTTGTATGCTTCTCAATTACCTGATTTCTTCGCCCTATTAAAGGGCCATCTTGTTTCCCTTCTGAGATCAAACACCTCCTTATTCTATCAAGCTGCTTGTCTGGGCGGGCGTCTTTGTTTTAACGTGCAGTTTTTCCCATATTAGACGACTATTGCATGCTGCAACCAATCTACTGCCAGTTCAACCTCAACGTTGTTTTTTGGCCTTTTTGGATAATCCCGCAACCCTTGTTTTACGATGCTTCCCAAAATATTCCCAATCGGTCACGTTAGGGTATGTTAGGATAGTGCACAGTATTATTCACGGTTTTTAATATTGCCAAAAAAAGGTTTTTACTTCATTTTCTTTTTGAAATCGACGTCTTCGTTCCAAAAAAATCTTATTATCATTACAAAGGTAAGTAATGAATTAAAAAAAAGTGTTATTACGTAAAAATAATATAAAATTATAGTTTAATTTTAATGTACATTACCTTTATATTAATATTTGTTAAAGTATTATCCACGGACATTTCACTCCACTTGGCAGTAGCATTATTTAAAAAGACTCCTAGCTCCCCCTTTCTCTCAGATTTGTCAACTCCATTTACAGATTTCGATAAATCCAAACTTTTACTACTACTCATAGAACATCGTCCAAACTTCTCTCTGACCATATCTATCTCTTCAAATTGCATGAATTTATTTAGTCTTTGGATAGATATTCTAACTTCTGCGACCTGCGCAATACCTTGAGGGAAGAAGACCGTCAGAGATTGACGAAGGACGCTGTAAAATGATGTAATGACGAACACCTTTTCGGCCGAGATGTCATATCCAGAGAGAACGTATGCTAAGATGCTGACGAATAATGAGATTCTTGTACTGTACATTATAAAGGAAAGAAATATACCTCGCATAAAGGCAGTAGCTCGGAGTGATTTAATTTCATGCCTAAAAAAAATAAATCATCTTAATGTATATTAAAGTGTGTAGATATGCTTTTTATATTTACTTACATTTACAAAATTGATAATTGATAATTGAAATTGAAGTTTGGGATCAACTAGAACATTTAATTTTAGCAAGAGCTGACTTTTGCTATCCCATGAATAAAGAAAAATTATATTTTTAGTTTAAAGTTGTCAAGTTGTCAAGACTCAAACATTTCCACTCCCATCAAGCAACATAAAACCTGTCAAGATTGATATTGTTCTAAACTTATTAATTCATCTTCCATTTTTGTTGCAAATAAGCAACAATTTTACGTTAATTAAATTTAAATTTGTTTGTTCACCTTTGTTTTTTCTCTGATCCATAAAAACAAAAAACAAAAAAAAAACAAAGGTGAACGATGTATCAAGACAGGTTGCAAAACTTAAATGGAACTTCGCCGGTCACACTATCCGGCAAAAAGATGAAAGATGAAATAAGCGAATTCTACACTGGAGACCATGGGAAAAGAAAAGAAAAAGAGGAAGACCACAGATGAGATGGACTGACGATTTTAAGAGAACGGCAGGAAAGGACTGGATGCAGACGGCCCAAAATAGAGACCAATGGAGATTAACATGGGAGGCCTATGCCCAAGAGTGGGCGTTTAAGGCTGATTAGATAGAGATAGAAATTTAAATTTATTAAATTACATAAAATGTTTACTAAAAAAAACTGTTGCATTAGCGCTAATGGTTCTTATTTACCATCTCACATAATTTTTCAAGTATTGTATTACCAAGATGGACTAGAAGTGGCACATATTCGACAACCGCTAAAGGATATGTTTGTACAAGTGCGAGACTTGTACAAGCTGCTGTAGAAAACCAAATAATTTTATTTCGTATTCCTAGGCATCTAACGCTCATCGTTCCGGGATTTGCTGGTACGGGTTCTTTGCCAGTGGACCAAAGTAAATTTCCAGACTAATTATGACCAATGTAACGTACAATCCAAATGTTGGGAAAATGCTAATAAGAGTCAAATGACTTCTGGTTACAAAGTTTCATGAGTGAATCAACAAATGATAATGTAGAAATCAGTAATTATAGAAATCAGTTTTTAATACCGAGAAGATTTGAGATTAGGACGTTATTATGTGAGAACATACCTTAAAAGTTAAAGAAGATGTGGATCATACACACACATACATATGGCGATTTAAAAAGTAAAATAATGAAGACTTTTAAAGTTTAAAAAACTTTTTTCAAAATCTCGTATTCGAGTATGCAAATTCCAACAAGCCAGTGGCAATTTAACACCTACTTTATAGATTTAGTGTAATAGGTTAGCTCAAAAATGAATATCTGTTAAATACTAATTAAAGATCCTCTTTAAATATCCTTACCTTCTCGCCATAGCTACCAACTGGGCAAATGGTGTTTCCCAAGCATACATTTTAATTACTTGTATGCCTGACAAAATTTCGTTCATCAGTCTGACTCTTTCATCCGTTCTTAAAGCAGTCCTGAGACGATAGAAGGATATTTTTTTCCCCAAATAAACTAAAAATTAAAAATTAAATCGTATATAAATATGTTCAAGTTAAACTATGTTGTAACAATTAATTATTGTGCAAGATACTCTTGATAATAAACCTTAAAGATAAATAATTGTAATTTTCATTTGAAGTTATTAATTCTAATGTTTTTTTTACAATGTACAAACAATAATATACTGTTATATATAAAGTGAAAAAATAAATAAATATAACGAACTTTTGAAGAATACGACGGCTAATAATTAATATCGAACCCACTTGTTTAAACCCGCACAATTTCTACTATTAAAAATTTACAAGTCAGTGATTTAAATGCAATTCAACGATATCAGACGTGTATTTTTGCAAATTATTTTAACCTCAATATTTTTGTCACACCATACAATAATTTACCAATGGACCTATATTCTAAGTTTCGAGACTTTTTCTTCCTCGGCTTTTCCCTTTTCAGGGGTCACTGTTCCTTACTCTTCGTCGCCACTTATTTCTGTCCATCGCTTTTTTTACTTTTTTTCGCACAAAGTCTTCTGCCACACAGTCCTTCCATCTTCTCCTCGGATTTCCTCTACCTTTTCTTCCATCTAACCGCGCTAACCTCTAACAGCTCTATCCTTCGTCCCACATAGTTTTCATCTCTACGTCTGATAGCAAACCATTGCAGTATTTGTTCTTGAATATTGTTTGAGACTTTAGTCACCACGCCTCTTTCCCTAATCAATTCGTTTCTGATCCTGTCCCTTTTAGTCTTACCTAACATCCACTGTAACATTTTCATTTCAGCTACCTTCATTTTCTTGTTCTGGATATTCTTTTTCATTATATAAGTTTTCGTTATATTCTTTTTCGTCATATATTTAAATTTTCCTACTCGTCCTAGCTTTCCTTCAAGCAACTCTACGTCCCCAACCATTTTTCCCTCCCAACCACATATACTCTGTTTTCGACCTGATAACTTAAAGTCCTTTGACTTTGAGATCGTTAAATTCTAAAATAAAGTAAAAAATATGGGTCTAAAGAAACTCGCACAACTGGAGAAAGTTCGTGATTAACGTTATTACTTGAGAAAGGAGACTCGGTAATTACCGCAGCACGTGATATTGGTGTTTCAAGAGAGGCAATTTATCAATTGAAACTCTCGGCTACGTCTCGTTGCCTTCATGGAATGTTCTGGAAAGAAAACCTGGTTCTGGAGCTCCTAAAAAACATCATCTAGGACTAACACCATCATCAGGCGTAAAGTAATGTTGAACCCTTCCATCACTGCCACAGAACTCAAAAATAGTTATCCTGATCTCGTTCAGAACGTTTCAACAAGAACCATTCGTCACCGGCTTCAAAAAGATCTAGCACTACCAAGTCGATATGCTACAAAGAAGCTCTTGTTGACAAAAGCAATGAAGAAAAAAGATTAGATTCCCAAAAGAATCCAGTTTATCAACGACTACAATGGTGATAGGACAAAGTATTAATTTGTAAAATTAAAATAACAATTATCCTGATTTACGTGTTTTATGTTATTTTATAAAATTTTTGAAAGCATGCTATTTAATGATGTAGAAAGGAAAAGAAAGAAAGAATGGAATGATCAAAAAAATTGAGCAAATCGAGTAAAAACTCCCGAATAACTCTTGAAAACCGGGTTTTTCACAAACACGATGGTTGTATTTGCTTCTTTGGGTCCTGAAAACATTATTTTTTATATATTTTTTGAATATAAATATGGCGGCGGATTAAAATTGCGCTGAGTCTTATTTATTTGATCACTTAGAACGAAAAAAAAATAAATTCTTGGAATAAGGGCAATTTGTCTATCTTAACGGATACCATTTACAATGTATTCAAGTAAACAATAATGGCTGAACCAATTAAGAAGACAAGACATTGCATATGTAATACTTGAACGGTCTAAAAGAATCAAAATTAATTAAACGAATAGCATTAAAAACATCAAAGGTAAAAATAAGAAAGAGTAGTCCAAGTAGACGATTACCAGCGGTTATGCAAGATGTTGAAGATAAAAAATAAAGAATTAAAGCAACTAGGTAATGGACAGAGGAAAATAGGAACGGACTATAGATCGGTATGGCTTGAAAGTAACCTTATTCTTTTTCTTCAAGTTCCCCTCCTATCGGAGATTGGAAATCATTCTGGCAATTATAATTTTAATGGTTACGCGCCTGAATAGTTCAATTGAACTGCATCCAAACCACTCACGGAGATTGCGTAGCCACGAGATTTTACGTCTTCGTAAGCTTCTTCTGCCTTTGATTTTACCCTGCATTATATTCCTTAGTGGTTCGTATTTTTCACCTCTCATGATGTGCCCCAAGTATTCCAATTTCCTGATTTTTATGGAATTTAAAACTTCGCATTGTTTTCCTAGTTGTTCGAGAACTTGTGCGTTTGTTTTGCGATCCATCCATGATATTTTCAAAATACGTCGGTAACACCACATTTCGAATGCTTCTAGGTTTTTAATGTTGGATTTTTTAAGTGTCCAAGCTTCAACTCCATCCAAAGGGGTAGAGAAAATATAACATCGAAGCATTCTTATCCGAAGCGATATATTGATATCGCGATTACAAAAAAGGTTTCTCATTCTATTAAAAGTTGACCGTGCAATTTCAATTCGGCATCTTATTTTTTTTTTTGTCTGATCGGTATCTTCTGTGATCCATATTCCAAGGTATTTGTACGAAGATATTTGGTCAATTAGTAACCTACATTTGTCTATATTTATTTATGATTATTGTTGTTTAAAAAATAATTTTTTAATAATATTAATGGTAACTTTAAATATCTTAACAACACTATTAAATACTTACTTTGCAATGGTACTGACGCAACAAGAACGGCAACACCAATTATAGCAGAAACTCCAATTTCCATGTACATAAAATACGTACAAATTACAGTTTCTAGAGGAGCTAACCACAATTGGTGAGCGAAGATAACCGCCAAATCGAATCTGTTAACATCGTTGGACAAAAGATTTACAATCTGCCCAGCAGTGGTTTCGCCAAGAGCCGTTTTGCTTAGCCTTAACGCTTTTCTGTAGATGAGAGAACAACATGCTATTCTCATTTTCATGCCTATATGGCATACTGCGAGCATGTACGGGTGGACTAACAGCACGGAGAATAAGGAGCATAGAACAATACCAGTGGCGAAGTAATAGGCTTCCTCGATGCTTACTGGTTCTCCTTGGGGCGAATAATATGCGAGTAGACGCCTGAGGAGCAGCGGCTGAATTATACTTAAACAGATAAAATATTTGTAAGTACGCCATCACCAAGTAGTAAAAAATTATAAAGATATTTTCTAAATCTCTTATTACATTATTATTAAATTAAAAAAAGTAGAGTCATTATAAATATGGGTACACATATGCGAGCTGAACTGTTTACAGCGAACTCATCGCAAACTCGTCACGATCCATGGAAAGCGACGAACCAACTTGTGCGAAGTAACAGTTTTGTTTTTAGTTAACAGTTTTTGTAGAAGTGCAAGCGTGTTGTGTATTTATCGCGGAGTATCCCGATCATCAAGAAATCGCATGGCAGCATAAGCAATTTACTTAATTAGATGGCTTTGGTCTAATGAACACAATTTGGTGAAATATAATTTATGCTTTCACAGTTTATCTTTTATTCAACTCATCTTTTCCTGTTTCACTGCTTCCTGTGGAGACCTTATTCTTTTCATGCCTAAAGAATGCCAATGGGGTTATAATTTTCCGTTTACAATCTTCTGGTGGTATGTCCATAGTCTCACCTATTTCGCGCCAAGCATCACCTTTTAAGTTTTTTCGGAAATGATCACGAGCTTTCGGATCCTAGATAATTCTCTTGTTCTGATATAAGCCAATAAGTTCAATACATATATTGTCCGACCACAGTGCCATCATGGACATTTACCCCGGGGGTTTACGCCGAAACTGCGAATAATGTCTGTGTTCATCCCAAAAACCGACAGGCTGTGGTTCCTGACGAGCGACGAACGAACAGCTCGCAAGCAGTTCGTCCCTCCGTACAAATTATACGAATATAGCGTTCGAAAAAGGTTCGCGAACAGTTCGGCTAGTATATGTATACTCACTTTAAAATTCTTTAATATAAATTTATATCTTTTATATTAAGTTTTGGTTTAGAAAATATCCTCGAAAGCGTTAACACTTTAACCAAATAATAAGGCAATCGAATGAAGTTAGCTTAATTTCATGCTCTTTGTTGATTAAAAGTTAAATTAAATAAATCATCACTGGATTTCTTCTTAAATTGAGGTACTCAAATGGGCGGCAAACTCAGCGAATGTAGGAAGGACCACTGGTAATTACAGAGCAAAATCAGAATGAAGATAATAACAGCAAAAAAGCAAAATTACCCAAAATACGAAAAATATAACGTAGAGTCTTTATGCAATGAGGCGACAAAAACTCTGTACCAGAAAAGCTTCTTCGTTTTTCTCTTTATAAACAATTCTGCTTGTTCATTAGCTGATAATACCTCTATGAAAGGTTGTCACTCCATCTTTTGCGCGGTCGTCCGATACTTCTGTCAATTGGTGACTTATGTTTTGCTATTTTGACGACAGGCGTCTTCTTTATTATGCTTATGTGGTTATTCCGTTCTTTTTTAATTTTGTGTCCATTCATTTATACACTGTACGTTACATTTTCTTCTTATGTCCTCACTTTTCTATCGATATTTCAGCGCATTTCCTTTAATTCTTCTCAGTACACTCATCGCTGCCATGTCCAGTAGCCTTTATGTTGTGGCTGTGTCGGATCTTGGAATGTGTGGATACGTCTTACCGTGCGAAGAAGAAGGAGTTGAATAGGAGGATCCGAGCCGAGAAGAAGGGGCACTGGAGGGGACGGTGTGACTAGCTGGACGAGGACACCTGGGGGAAGGGTATAAAATCGCAATGAAGCATTTTGACGCCTATGCTCCGTATGACATGCCATTGGACCAGAAGCTGGAAATAGTCACCGAACTGTTTCCACAAGGACAGTGACATGGTGTGCGGAAAGACGTCGAGACTGATTCGAAGGGATTCCTTTTACTTTGGATGAACTGACTGTGGCAGTGAGTTCCCTAAAGTCTGGCAGGGCTCCCGTTATAGATGGTGTCCCGCCTGATGCGGTTGTGCGTCTGGACCGTTTGGAGTCCACGTGGCTGCTGGAGCTCTTGAATACTCTTCTTGTTGCGCAGTCATTTCCGGATCCCTGGAAAATCTCGAGGTTCGTGCTTCTATCTAAATTCAAGGCAGGAAAATAACGTCCTATTTGTTTTTCCTTATATCGGAAAGTTGTATGAGAGAATGCTACGTTCACGTATCGAGGAGGTGATTGTGATGTCTGGAGGCCTGTCTCCAAGATAATATGGTTTCTACCAGGGTAAAAGTACAGTGGACGCGACGGGGTCCCGCAGGGTTCCGACCTGGGTCGGACGCTGTGAAACCAGGAATATGACGGGGTCTTAAACTACGAATATGGGGAGGTGTGACTCCCTTCGTATTCGTGGCCGACCTTACTATGCTGGTGGCGACACGTGAGAGGGAGGAACTCTTGTTTCGGATTACGCGTGTGTGTGTCCTTATTGAGGATTGGATGAGCGAGCATGATCTTTCTCTCACGGAACATAAGACGGAGGCTGTACTACTAAGAGGCTACAGAAAGAGAGATAGGGTTGAATTAGAGCTACACCACTACAAAAGATTCGAAGGGTATCCAATATATCCACCTAAAATCATCCGTTACTTCTCCTGGAGAGATTTTGATCCATACACTTTCAAGTTGGAACATTCATCTTACAAAATCGCGCTCTGAGCAAGTAAGTAGCAGGTAGTGGTATCTTTCTCCGGATAGGTAAAATTCTTCAAACCACCCATCCTACGAAGCTACTGTTAATAGAAGTGGTTCATAATGATCCTTATTATGAACAGGCTACCAAGACTAAGATTAAGTACCCACTAAGTTCAATTCAAATGTGGCTTCAATTAGTGTTGAACGGTTACGTGAAATAATGGAATTTACGATGGGTTACGACGTGGCCGATCTTTTTCGGGCTTTTAGTTAGCTAGATAAAAACTTAATTATTAGATTAACTTACGTCTTCTTTTTTCAACACAGGACAAGAAAACAAGTGGATTGGTTAATACTTTTGTTTTTATTTCACCTGCTATTAAATGGATAAAAAATTTTAATTTGTACGTTTCCTATCTATTTTTAAATGATAATAAATACAGGGCACGAAATTTAGCTACCTTCATACCTTGAGATAAATTTTAACAAAATACACGTAAAGCTAATAAACCAACACCAAGTCTACAAAGTTTACAATAATTACAATCATAAGAAATAAAAGAAAATTAAAAGACAATAAACTAAAAATCTACAGAAAATAAAAAAGGTTAAAAAAAAGAAAGAACCACAAATTAGAAAAATAAACTAAAAGCAATTTTGCAGTATGTACAATGCTTTAAAGCAAATAATTTAAGCTCTATAGCTTATAAAGATATATCGCTTTTATAATCTAGATCAAACAATAGTTTTTGTGGTTTTTCATTTCGTTATTTATAAAAAAAAAAATGTTTATAAATTTTAATATTTTTGTAACTTTTGAGGCAACAAAAAACACAAGTCTACTTCCCAGCTTAAAATTCAATTGTTAATTTCTTCCCGCCTGTATAATTGTCTCTATTCAGTTAATAATATGTTCTAATTCTTTTGTTAATTGTCACACTTCAATTTTGCGTGAAAAGTAATCTGCCAGTACTCAATATCCATCGAGTTAGAATCTATGGAGAGGGCATCACGTGACTAAAACGACCTCACTTCGGCCATATTGTTAAGATTGTTTTGACAAATCGTATATGTTTGTTTACATTTGTTGTTTTGCGAATATTTTTAGTTTTATAATACTTTTATAGAAACTGTAATAATATATTGTGATAGTGCATAATAATTGTATCTTGTTCTCAACGTAGTTGCAGTAGCAGAAGCTATGTTAATAAAAAATCTTCAGGAATATCGTTCCGCAGGTATACAATACAATAGTATACAAAGTAATGACCCGTACTTGAGAGAATAATGACTGTATTAATTTATCTATATGTATAATATATCGTGTTTTTAGTGTTTACCGCGGGATAAATAAATCATAGTTTATTAAAAATGTATTGCACTTTTTTAGATTATGATTAAATCTTCTGAATAACTAGTCATATTTGTATAGTAGTTTTATTATTATTGAGTCTGATCCCACCGCCATAATGGTATCATCGTTAGCCACGCTTACCTACGCCGTTTTTAATACATACGTTAATATGCTCATAGCTTCTCCATAGATTCTATCTCGATGACAATATCCAATGAATTTTAAAATATGCAAATTCTACCGGTCGTTATTTTTTCGAAGGAATTGTTGAAAGCAAAAGCCATTGTTTGACCTAGAAATTTAAATATGTACAATAAATAGAAGCCACTAAAAGAAGAATATGCAACAATTTGGAAGCCTCACACTTAATATTTACGTTTCATTAACATTTTGTTGATCTGATGTGAAGTTGGCATTTGACATTTCAGGAAGTTTTATCGGTGGTGTTTTTTTAGAATACATGTCGAAATATCTCACTAGACGACCCAAAATAATGGGTTGATATAATCTGTTAAGGAAACAATTTGATTAAAAAATCGTAAATAATAAAAGTGAGTAAAATATGGATATCACAAATATTATATTTTTTATAAAAACATTGTTTCAAAAAATGTATAGGTATGTGATGTTACATTTCTGAATTATAGTTAAAACCGTTTATAGCAACATCTTTTAGATCAACATACCGATTATATTGACCAAAATGGAAGATCCCAGCTGACACAAAAATATTGCTTTTTACATTGGTTGCTAATATCTTCGGAATATAGACGTATATACGTGTATATATAATCTTTGCTATCTTCCGAGAATTATATCTATTAAAAAACGATCCGATCAGCTATAATGTAAAAAATTTAAACAACAGGTATAAATATGCTTACACCAGTCTTCAGAAACGAAAATGCCACTGAACCTCTAAAAATCATACGAAAAAGCTGAATTTTGCCAAAAATATTAAATTTGGGATTTCAAAAAAGATTTAAAAAAGTTTACCACTTTTACCTCCAGGCTTCTCCCTAAAACCCCCATCGCAGGGAGGTAAAAACGCAAAAAAATCGATTTACACAGAATCACTACACCGTAAAAAAATGTTTTAAATAAAAAATGTAGCTGAGATAATTCTAAAGTATTTTGTTGAAGATTTTATTTGGTCGTCTAGTTTCAACTCGGTATGGTGTTTCTGGCGGGAAAATGAGTGGTGAAGCTGTCAGTATTGATAAAAATACTGTAAAAGAATAGATGACGCAAAAATGGCCTACATTATAGAAAGTCTACAGACCAGCTGACATGTTTTACGCAGACGAAACCGGAATTTTTTACATCATGACATCAGACAGAGCGTTAAAGTTCGAAAGATAGAATTGTTCTATAGGAAAAATATTTAAGACGAGACTAACTATTACGGTTGCAGCAAATATGAGAGAATTTGTAGAAGGAAGGTTTTAATTATTGGTAAATCGAGCAAACCAAGATGCTTTAAAAATATACACTTACTGTCGGTAAAATATGAAAGCAATGTAAAATATTAGATGATATCAGAAATTTTTGAAAAATAAAATTCTATGAGGAAACTAAGTTCCTGTAGCTGGCTGTATACCATATATCACAAAAAATTGTTTAAAATCCTTTATAAAAGGTTATAAATTTTATAAATATTTAAAAGGTTTATATACCTTTTATAAAGGATTTTAAACAATTTTTTTTGAAGAATAGTTACGAAACTGAAACGCTGAATTAAAAGCAATCAACAAGAAAATTCTATTTTTTGTTAAGAATTATCCCACGCATGCGCATGCTGTTCCTACTCCGAAATGCATTAAACTTATGTTCTTACTATCAAATAATACATTTACAGAAGAAGGTGTAATAAATTGTTTAAAATCTCATGACAGAAGACTGCAAGTATTAAAAGTTGCCTAATACAAAACCTTGACAGTAATGACCAAAAACCTTTACGTTTCTTAATGCCATCTTCTTTATATCAGAATCATAGAAAAAGTTTTACAAAAAAACTCTAGCTAACTGCTTTAGGCATGCAGATTTTTTAATAATATCTTCAGATGAAATGATTGGTGATCATGAAAAGAACAATATTTTTTTGGTTCAATTAGCTCAAAATGATCGATCTGCTTTATATACTACTGAAGCAGAAGAGTTCATTGATGTAGATAAATATATTGCAATTTATGCAGCAGCTACGGAGGATGATATTATATAAGAAGTTCAAGAGGAAGATAACGAACAGAAATTTCTGGAGAATCATCTACAGTGCCAACTTGGAATGATGGTATCAATGCTGTTAGTGCATTACGAAATATTGTTCTTTTTAATGAAGAGATTCAGATACAGAGAAATTATGACGACAATCTAATTAAAATCCAACGTGAACTACATAATGTTTATGCACGACGGAAGTGTTTTAAACAAATCAATTTTTTTATTTCCTTAGATCCTTAAAATCTTTCTTGTATAAATATTTTTATGTCTTTTTAAAAGTTATTTGTGATTATGTCGTATTATAACTGTTGTTATACTTATATTATACTTTCTTTCCTAACAGAATCTTTCACAATACTATATTTTACTTTTGTTGTAATTTAAATTATAAACCGTTATAAAGTAATACTTATATTATTTTATTACATGCGTCTAAGAAAATTCATACCATCCACTGCTTTTGATATCCATATTATACTCAATCATATACCATAATGTATCATATAATACGTTGCTAGAGAGAATAAATTTATTTTGATACAAAAAATAAATATACTTTTATACAGCTGTATATTATTTATTCAAAGTAAAATTATATGTATAAAATAACTGATGTTTAATTATTGACTGAAACTTGTTAGAACATTGTGAAAATGAAAAACGATAAATAATACATTACAAAATAAACAAATAAATCATAACATCATTTGCTTATACCTATATGTGATATTGAGTTCTCTCAGTAATTTTTTTTTACATGTTTCTATTATAGGTTACAAACATTATACAAATATACGTCCCTACAACCGACAAACACGAAGATTGTAACACGACAAACAATGGACAGTGTTTGGGAAAAACAAAATGAACGAGAATGCATTGCTCACAATCGGCAAAGATGTGGGTGTGGTTCTTTGGATCATTTTTACTAGCACATAAACAAAATAAAAAATGAAAAAAAGAAAACTTAGGAGGTGAAAGTTACTAGAGCTAAACCAGAAATATTAAATAAAGAATGCAAAGAACAATCATAAATAATTTGCACAAAAAGCGCCACTTTGTCGATTCTTCGAGAGACAAAGAAAACTCTTTAAAACCAAAATACATATATAGCACACTAACAGTTAACAATCTCACTTAGCTCGTATGTTCGTTCAGCAACCTGTCAGCAGTTATTTATTTGTGGTTCAAGAGAATAGATTTTTACAGAAATTAAACAATACACAATTGTTATATACTGGATATATTTATTAATAATTAAATCATAAATTTGCTTTTTACAATCTTCTTGCAGATTTTACAGAACGATAAAAAGACCATAACTCTCATTTAATTATGCAGTATAATACAAAAAAAATTAAGAAAATAACCCAGACGCACTGTCGGATTTTTCACAACACTACCATTAAACACTGACAAGTTTTTATTTGTTAAAAAAAAATGAACAAATATCTCCATAGAAAATTTCAGCTTCCAAAAACGGAACAAAAACATATTATGTATAACTTAGAGTTTGTCTTCCTTTTACCACAAATTCCATGTCAGATTTCTAAAGACAAATTAGAAGATTACACTTAAGTCCAAATCTAATTCTCCGTCCTTTATAATTTTTATAACTTGCAAAAAAATATCGGCCTGCTTCTTCTTCTTCGAGTGCCATATCAAAATTATCTGACGTTGGCAATCACCATTACGAAGGCTTCTCGATCTTCTGCAATATGGAATAATTGTCCTGCATTTGGTATCTGAGTCCATTCACGAATGTTTTTTAACCAAGAAACTTGTTTTCTTCCTACTCCTCTACGGCCCTCTATTTTGCCTTTAAGGATCAGTTGTAAAATTTTATATGGACTTCCCTATGTGTCCCAGATAAGACATTTTTCGACATGTTTAACAGTCTTTAGCAGTTCTCTGTCTTTGTTGACGCTCCTTAGTACTTCTTCATTAGTTTTTCTTGCTGTCCAAGATATCTTCAGCATTCGTCTGTGAACGATCATTTCCAATGCTTCAATTTTGTTCATGATCGATACTTTTAGCGTCCACACTTCTGCAATATACAAAAGTACAGACCAAACATAGCACTTAACCATTCTTTGCCTTAGTTCTAAATTGAGATGGTTATTACAAAGAAATGACTTACATTTTTATAAAAGTAGTTTTAGTCATTGCTATTCTACGTTTTATTTCTATGTCTGGATCTAGTTGGTTCGTTATCACAGTTCCCAAATATGTCATTCTGTGAACTCTCTCAACTTGGACTCCGTTCAATTGAAGCTTTGCATCGGGATGTGGGTCACGACTAAACACTAAAAATTTGGTTTCGTTTGAGTTTATTTTAATGCCCATTTCCTCTCCTAACTCGTGAATACGATCAAGCAGAATCTGAAGGCGTTTAAGGCTTGCTTACTGTTACTAATACTGCTTCCCAAAGATAAAATTGATTTTTAAAAAGATGTTTTCAAACACTAAAAAAAATCGCCCCTACGGCAAAAAGCCGGTAACTACCAGCGGACAGCTGACCGAACCCCTCATTGATCAGACGAAAAGGAAAGAAAAACTCTGGGAAGAAAAATTCCTTGTCACGATTCCTATTGTAAACAGATACTATGTATATCCATGTACTTGAAATTTATTTATTCTCAAAACATAGTTCGTTAACCATGTAAGGACAAAAAGCAAAAATAACAAAACAAATAACATAAAACGCCTATTAACAGTTATTTATTCCAATTGATAAGAAATAATTTTAAAAATAACGTTCAAAGACACAAATAAATGACAAAGGGATTTTATTTACACCTTATAAACAGACAGAGGTCGTCATACAGCTATCTCCTCTCTAGTCGTTTGGAGTGGATGGTAAATTGTATGTCAATACAGATACTCGTATAGACAAGACAGAGCAAACGGAGCTGCCTATTGAATTTTATGATGATGAAATATATGTTATGATATATTTATTCAGTGATAATACATACAGTTTTTTTTTTAATCTACTATTATATTTTATTCTCTCTGAAATAATATAACACTTACATAAGTTTACCTACCTTACCGTTTCTGACAAGATCAGAACAATACCCATCGCTAAAAATTCCCATCCAAAAGCTTTTAGCAGTGTCCGCTGTAAAGAGGGAGTAGTGTTTTTCTTTTTTGCTCTCTCCTCTTCTGATTTCCAGTATTTTTCTATTTTATTTCCCAAATAGTCAGACCTGTGTTCGGAGAGAGTTTCAGTCAAATCAGATTCATCGAGATCACGTTTAAATCCTTTAATGAAGGTGGGAATTGTGTAACTAAAAAAAAAAGAATGATTGCTAAATGATTGAGAATAATATTGATCTAATAATAGACTTAAAAATTAATAGACTTAATAATAGACTTAAAAATATTTGGTTATTGGTTCCATGTTAAAAGGTAAAGAGGTCAGTGTCATATATAGAAACGTGTATTGAGTATTGAGAAGAAAATCCATCCTGTCAATCTGCAATAATTTTATCTCAAACTTCTTTTCTGATTCTACAGCTCATTTGGGGTATGGTCTACCCAGGAACTTTCTTTTATTCTTCTCAATTCTTGTCTCCATATTACAACCTACACTTATGTTCATAATTCTTCTTTTTTGCCATCTAGACATAGTTTTCTCCTTCCCAACAGCTACCACAAAACTTGTTGAAGCTGTTTCTTCCATCCGCATTACATGGTCCAGTCATACTAGACGATTCAATTTGATATATTGTACAGTGTAAAGTTGTTTGTATATTTGAAATAATTCAAAGTTAAACCTTCATTTATCATAATTTATCCCACCCAACACTTTTTCAAATTATCCAGTTATAATGCCCGTATCCTTGTTTTTTCATTTTCCTTTTTTCCATTTATTAGGGTTTTAGTCCAGTCGACAGAGAGCTGACCCCTAAAAATCATACGAACAAGCTGAATTTTGCAGAGTAACAAAGAGTAAAATGTAACAAAGTTTAGCACTTTTACAAGTTTCCCCACTCACAACACCGACCTGTCTTTCTGAAAATGGGTATCAAAATACCCGTTACTGACTCCCAACATCAACTTGTCTTCCTGAAAGAGATTCTCGAAATATATATACTGCATGCCTAGAAAAGTAGGTACATAAAATAGATTTTATTAGAAATTAGCAACTAGGATCACTTTAGAGAAGCTATGATCTCGGCTGTAAAAGTGTACTAGGGCAAGTCGGATTTAGAAGTAGTTTGGAAATGAAAGTTATTGAATACAACAAGCCATTGATATTAAAATTTGTAGATTTTGACTTAGTCCAGCATAGCTACATGTTAAGAGCTCATAAAGAGTGCAGTATTAATCATAGGTACACAACTCTTCTTCGTAATATGTATATATAATAGCGCAACAGCTGCTGTTAAAATGTACTATGAAAGTACAAACACATTTTCCTTGTAGAAAGGTATTAGGTAAGTAGACACTATCTTTCCTTAACTATTCAACGGTTTATTGAAAAGTGCTAGGAGATAATTGGGAAAATATTCGAGTCAATATAAATAGGAAGTTTCTAAACAACTTAAGGTTCGCAGACGACATCAACAGGCCGTCACTGCTAACTTACAGGTCCCTAATATCGGATGAGTTGTTAGACAATGTGGTGGGAAAATAGATGAAAACACAGCACAATACCACATATTTATATAGTACTCCATACTAGTCAACTGATTCCATGAATCAGTATGGAGTTTCCACTTTGAATCATACAATATCATCATCAACCTCTATGCGCCCACTGCTGGACATAGGTCTGCAATTTTGTAAACAAACTTGTTGTACAACTTTGTTATTTAACATGTTTTGTTACATAGTATGGACCCAGTTGAAGGAAGCATTTTCAACGGTATTTTCTTGAATTTCTACTCATTTTATTAGAATTTGATGAAAATTAAAATTGACGTTAGAAAATAAGTAATTCTTACCAGAAAGTGGCTGCAGATAATGGAAATGCATTTTCTCTTGGATTTGGATTTCTTGTTTTCTTGATACCTCCGTCCATTATTGTTTTTCTTTAAATTAAAAGTATATTCAGAGGTATTATCTGAAAACAATAACATACAATAAATTTTTCATATTTCACAAAGCTGAACTAAACACACATTAAGAATTTAGTATTCAGCAGTAATTTAGCATTAAGAATAAGTATTGCCCTGAAATTGATTGTGTCAGATTTAGCTACAAAATAAACAGAAACACAAATCTTATTTAATAGGGGAAAGTCGGATAAAATTGTACCCTTGGTTAAAATATTCTTCCAAACATATTTCTCATAATTTTCACAAAACCGTCGTTTATTATTATAGCTATATTTATTATATTCGGTACTACTAGTGCCACTTTATACTAAGCTGTGAGGATGTGCGAAGCATTATAGGGTAGTTTTAATATAACCTATAAAAACACATGTGACAAAAAGGCATTTTTCCTTTTATTTCATATATGTTGGAATTTCTCTAATTATCAGAAGTCACTCATCTACATTAGTTTTTATATTTAATCAGATTTTGAGAAAAAATGGTTCTTTTTAAGGCAAAATGATTCCGGTAACCATTTTACCCTTGCTCAGCGTATCAAATATAAAGTTTTGAGTTATAGAGGAATATTTTTTATAATAATCAAATGTAGGTATATTATCTCTACGAATATAATGATTGCTGCTCTTAAGTACTTAAAAAAGGGACGAAAATCATAATGTATTGGTAAGTGAACTAAATGTAGACTACTTTATTCATAAGGGAGATATTAGAACATTATCGGTATTTTCTTTTAGACAACAGATTATTCGAAAACCCTTGGTCGATTGACTAGAACATTGCCTAAAGAATTGGAGACTTACTTAAAGGAAAATGTTTTAGATATAGAAGACCGACTATTCAGCATGACGAAGAAAAACATTTGTGAAATAGCCTACGAGCTTGCCTAGAGGAACGTTAATAAACATCGTTTTTCTTAAATCAAAGTCAGCTGGAACGGCATGGTTTAAACATTTTCCCAGGAGACATTCAAAGATTTCTTTTAGAATTCCTGAGGTTGCCTCAGCTAGTTTTAATTTTTTTCACTTTTAGATGAAATAAAAAATAAAAATAACATCAATCCTATGGGAATATATAATATGGATGAGTCTGATATCAAGACAGTCCCTAGTAACTTGCTCAAAATGTTAGCACATAAAGGGCAGAAACAGGTTGGTTCCTTAACAAAAGCTGAAAGAAGAGACAATGTGACCATTGTTCTGTGCGTAAATTCTGCGGGTCAATTCATTCCTCCAGTAATAATAAATTACTATTAAACTGGGAATAAGCCACAATTAAAGATAAAAATACGTTTATTGACGTTTCAATTTCCACTTCGGAAATCCAGTAATAATATTCCCTCGCCAACGAAGAATTAAATCAAGGCGTTCCATATAGAACACTTTCTCTTTATAACTAATCTGGATACATAAAATCTGACACCTTCATTCTGTTCTTAAATTATTTTCAACAACATACACAGTGCTCAGTGAAAGATAGGGTCCTAATGGCGTATTCTAATAAGGAAGTTATTTTATGGCTTAACAGAAACTCTGGAAAAGTCGTCTGTACAATATAGCTAGCTTGTTTGGAAATCGGATCGAACATAAGCCACACTTAACAACGGACTTGGTGGATTTAAGACAACATGCATCTGTCCTTACATATTCGAACATATTCCCAGATAATAAATTGATGAACATGAACAAATGAACAAATGATCGACCTATAGTGGAAAATGATACCGTTGATCCTAATCATGAACCAAGAACTACTTCTCCACAAAAGATACTTTTTCACTTCCAAGTTCTTTACCAATAAGGAAAAGAACAATACAAAGAGGTACCTCTTCGCTTCCAAGTTCTTTACTTGTAAGGAAAAGAAAAATTGGTAATACAGCTTCATCAGACGAGTGAGAGGAATTTGAAGTAAATGGATGATCTTCAGATGATATCAACTTTTTGGAAACAGTTTGGGGGGAATATCAGAAAACAAAACTTTATCCACTGCAGCTTCAAATCCGGAAGTTGTTTCGAACAATAAAATTGACACTACAAGCTCTGCAATTGGTAGTTCAAAACCGAATACTGTCCAAAGTTAGCACTTTTGACAGTAAGGTGGTGTTAAAAGGAATGAAATTCCATCATCGCTGGAACATACTTGATATATGATATATCTCCACTACCACAGGCACCTCATTTGACAAGGAGTTCAAGACCTTCGTAAGGATCTTGACCAACGGAAAAAGGTTTACCATCACACCAATTTATCTTTTGATAAAAGAAAAACGCCAAAGTCAACTTCACAAGCAGCAGGAAAAGCTTTAAGCAAAAAAAGAAAGAAAATAAAAGTTTTAATGACGATGAAAACTAAGCCGCCTGTATATTTTGCTCGGAATTATTCAGTACATTCACAGGCGAAAGAAGTCTGGATTAATTGCACTTTGTTTAATAAATGGTGCCATCTATTGTATACGTATGTAACTGAAAATCAGAAATTGTATGTATATTTGCGATTTTTGTATCAGACATTTTTTTACATAAATATTAAATATGATGTACTAAGCCCCTCTTATTGTTTGATGAAATTTTACTCAATTGTTTCGTTTTTTATTAATTTTAACCTAAAAAATGTTGCAGGGACTATTTTGCCCCACTCTCCCCTAACAAGTTTCATAACCAACGCAACGTAGAGAAAAAATAAAAATATATCAACAAGAAACAAAACAGCACTATAATAAAGAGTCAGAAGTCAATTGAAATAAACAGAAAGAACAGAAAAGAAAAAAATAATCTGAAATAAAAAGAGCTTATGGACAGATTGACATACTTTAAGAAATGTGAAATGATTCCACAGCAGGTTTATTTGTTGATTAATTCGTTATATTGCTATTTAAATTATATTATATAAAAATATAAACATAAACAAAACATAAATATAAACAAAATCATTGTTTTTATTATTTTAGATAACATTTAATATGTGGCTAATCATATGACACTTACTATATAAAAAAAAATTCACAATAATTATTATTCACTACTTTTGTTCACTACCGCGAAATTTTTAAGTATAGGTAGTATTTATTATTTTTGTAAATTAACAGAAACCAGTTCCATGCTTAGAGGTAAAGCAAATGTTGACACAGTTTTTATCTATAAATCAATTCATTGATTTTATTTAATAGGAACAGGATTGGATCTAGCACACATTAGAGTTATCGTAATATTTAAATAACCGACTACGTAATTAAAGCGTTTATTTGATAAACAAACTATGTCCATTTTATGCAAATTTTACCTTATATGAGGAGCCTGGAAGCCAAGGGTACAGGTGCCAAGGTACCAAGGGTACAGGTGCAATTTTAAACAAAATGGAGTTAAGTGCACTAAGTGGTTGCTATGGAGTCAAATATTGTTGTGGCAAAGGGATACAAGCGTATCACTGTACAGTGCTGCAATCTAGCGGATGGTATAAGTACTACCTCAAATATCAGCTGTTTTCCTGAGAAGCCAAGAGGTACAAGCGCCACCTGTACCCCTTGGCTTCCAGCTGACTGTCATCAGAGTTGTTTGTTGTTGAATGATGTACACTCTTGTCGATACTGTTGCTGTCCTATCTTTTAATTCAAACTTTACCCATATGATTCTACGATAGTTGGCAACTTTAAGAGTAAAGTAACCAAAGTTTTGCTACCTTAATCGAAATGGACATCGCAAGTATTGTAGATGAAGAACAGGAGTCTCAACATAACCTCTTTAGCGGTAAGTGAAAATTCTGTAAAGCCCATAGTTTGTGTTTATAAAGGCTATGAATCAGATTATCAGATAAAACTAGCGCATGTCTTATTTTTTCAGACGACTCAGATGCAGATTCTACATACCAGCCTCAATGTAGTGACAGTGACAATGAATCCGAAGTAAAACCTGAACTACTTAAACCAGGACCATGGAAAGAACATGACAAACACCCCGGTAAGAAGGGGCTGAGAAGGTCAGACAATTGGGCACGGGTACGTGCAAAGCAGGCAAGAAATAAAGGGCATTTATACTGACTGAAAGGCACAGTTCATCGAGCAAAGCGTATGGAAGTGTTTACCCATAACAACTGTAGATACGGTTGTGACACAAATATCCCTAATGACAAATGCCAATCTATTTTTGACAGTTATTGGGGACTTGGAAGCTGGGACCTTCAAACTTCTTTTTTATGTTCTTGCATTAGCCTTCAAGATCCTGCAAGAAAAAAACCTATTGCGAGCTTTGTAAAGAGAACAAGCGATACTTACACATTAGAAGGGTATAGAGTATGTAAGGCATTTTTTATGAAAACCCATGATGTCAGTAATAAACGAATTACTAATGTTATAATGAAAAAAATGACCAGCACAAACTCGGTTTCTCACAAGGATCAAAGAGGTCGTAAAGCTTCATCGAAAAAAAAAAATACAGATGAAACCATTTACTTAATCAAAGAGCACTTAAAGTCGCTTCCTAAGTACAGTAGCCATTACTCTAAGATTAGATCTCCAAATGTGAAGTATAGTCACAGCAAAAATGGTTTTTATTTGTCATTTTTACCAATTTTACTAATTACAAAAAAAAGTTCAAAAAAAATAAAATAAAAAGAATATAAAAAAATACTTAAAAAATAGATTTAAAAAGAAAAAAAGTAAATTAAAAAAAAGAAAAAAGATGATTATAAAAATACATTAAAAAAAAGAACAAAATAAGAAAAAAAAATAAATAAAAATATACTAAAACAATCACTAAGAGGATCTAAACCTCCGAGATGTTGAATCGGGTTTATGTCCTAACGTAGTGGAAAAAAAAATATGTATTACCATAGTTATAGTTATTAACATAGTAGGTAGATATCTTTATTTTTTTTTTTTTTTATTTATATGATGTATACACTATGAATTTCTGATGGCGTCTCTCAATAACTAAATTATAATAAAGGTATGCTATAGTATTTATTAACATAGTATATACATTAGCTTAGCTGTTATTATTATTATACTAATCAT